CTAGAGCTGCTGTTCCCCATGTTTTGGGCAGCTGAATAGTGAGTCCTGAAGCTGGTGCCTCTTCTGGAGGATCAGGCAAATCTGGAATGAGTAGTGTCTCCAAAGAGATGAAGCTTCTTAGCCTGCTGGGTTGATTTTTGTTGCTGTGAGTGCCTTCTTGGTTGTAGGTAGTTTTCTTTTGGCAATCTGTGGCCACTGAGGGATAGATAAGCACAATACGTTGTTGGGGCCATCTGACATTTTGTCTTCATTCTAAAGGCAACCCCCCCAAAAAAAAAACCTGGTCTCTGCAGTTTTCCAATCCTGATTTCCCCTCCTACAGCCAGCCTTCTGTAGCCATGCTTCTCTCTTCCTGGCCGCCCACAGTGAGCCGTGGGAAGCTTCCTCCCAGGCTTCTTTCTGCCCCAATGCTGATCTCTCAAAACGTTGCCTTCTAGCTATAGTCTTCAGACGAAGAGTGACCCGTGGCATATGTTTTTATGGAAAGATGCCTGCACAATGTATCTTAGTGCTTGGGTTCAAGTTAAATAATACTGACACAGCAATTTACCCTCATTCACACCAGTTGAGGAACTAGCTAATGAATTGGTGTTGTGCTTTCAAGACATGCTATAATCCCGGAACTCGGAGATTTGCGTGTTCTTGCAGTGTGAGGGTGGCTGTAGCTTGTTTCAAAGGTGCACTGCTCAGGTGCACGGAGCTTCTAGGTCCCCCTTCTTCCAGGAGAAGATACTGATGCAGGAGAGTTAGAAACTGCACATTTCCTTAAGCAGGAGAAAGTGCAGGGCTGCAGGAGTAGGAAAATGTGTCTGTTGGTACAATGCAGCAAACCAGAAGCATTTATAGCTCTGGACATGCAGCATGGGCTCTGGTCTTGATTGAAGACTGGAACCTTAATCAGTACTGAACATCGGCAATTCAGGAGCTGACCTTTTTCTGGGGCTCTTTTGGGCTCTTTTTTGTCTCTTCTGCACTGCTTTGTTCTTGTGCACCTTGAACGCACATTTACACACACAGCAACCACAGGGAAGGTGTTCAGAGTAATACCAGTGCATGAGTGCACCCATTATTAACTTTCATGTTGTAAAAGAGCTACAGAAGGGAGTTTACAAAGCATTTCCAATTCAGGTTAACTATTAAAATACAAGTTTAATTACATACATTATTGACTTAAGCCTCAGTGGAGGCTGGTCGCAGGCACAAATAAAGGTGATCCACCCACCTCAAGCATCTTGCAGGACTTCTGTGTGTAAGCAGCAGCTCAGTTTTTCTTTACACCAAAAGGTTGTACCATTCTGAGTAAACCCTTTTAAACAATCATTCATTATAGAAACTATAGCGTTACTTTAATTTAAGCAAGAGTTGGGTTTGTTTTTTTCATTAGCTTAAGGTAACTAAGAAGATTTAAGCTAGCTTTTTATTATCCTGACAGCTTATGCCCCCAATAGCATCCCAATTATTCCAACTCCTCTTTGTTGCCTCTTGAGCAAGTGTGGAGGGCCAGATCTCCATGGCTCTCCTGGGACTGCATGCCTGCACCCCGCAGGCAAGCGCTGCTGTTTGGGGTGGGAAGGAAAGGCTGCTGGTCAACGTAGTAGGGCCAAGACTTGTTTTCTAGACAAGGCAGTTGTCCCTCCTACAAGGGAGATCCCAGACAGATTGAAAGATCACCACTAGGATGTTTTATATAGGTGCAGTTCTACTACATGGGCAATAACTTAAATACTCACCACCTGTCTCCCTTCGTTCTTAAAATGCTTGGTCTCTCTTAATTCTTTGAGGAATAATAATGGACTTGTTAAGCTGGAGAGAGGAAACCTCCCCCTTGTTTAGATAGCAGTGCAAAAGAGAAGGAGGGAGAGCACGTTGGCTTCTACGAGAGATATTTAGTCATTCTTCTCTGCAGAAGGCTGGCGGGGAACATTGCAAAGTTCATTTCCGAATCAGAAGAGCGTGTAAAGACTGCTTGTTTTATTCACTACATTAATCGTACTTCACATATTACTCATAATATTAAAATACCCAACTCACTTCACTGTATACCAGAGACATTTAGCTGCCAATTTTCAGATAATTGTAAATTGAGTGTGTCTGTTTGAGCCAGCCAAAATAAGCTGAGTTAGATCATGAGTGTAGTTCTGCAAACGTGGGTGTAGGGGGTAAAGAGGGGCCACCGTGGCAGGGGGAGTACTTAACGCCTTGGAAGCATCATCAAAGGAGCAAAAGACAGTAGAGAATAATGGTTCCTATTTTGATCTGCTTGTGCATTTCTCCACAGCGGGTCATATCCTTCAACTGCCACTTTTAATTTCCTTTTTCTACAGTTGAACGTGGTTGAGCTTTTCTAACAGTGCATCTCTTTGCTGTTCAGCATTGCTGTGTGCCTGCATTTCAAATCTCTCAGTGAATAGCATCACGTTTACCTTCCAGCCCATTCCTCTGCTGCCTTACCATGGTCCTGGGAAGGTTTAATGTGGGTAACTGAGGTCCCCACGTGCCCTCCACTGCCGCCTGGCATAGTGCCTGCAATGACATCCCTTGCGGTAGGAGCAGCCGCATGTGGCTGAATCTGGCCCTGAGCTGACCAAATTTGTCCACCGGTAGGAATCAGGCCTCCTCCCTCTGGAGACCTTATGAACAGATACCACCTTTAGCTCTTCTTCACAAGGCAGGGCAACCCCAAATCCTGGTACCCCCAAGATGGGCAAATCTGGTCCTGGTTTTGCTTTCCAGAGCTCTAAAGCCAGTTGCTGGTCCATTGCACCAGACTCCAGCACAGTGTGAGCAGGGGGAGGTCAGCTGCAAAGCTCTGAAGAATTATATTTCAGCATCACTGGTAAAACAAGATCCCCAGGAGGGATGTGTATGCTATAGCTTCTCATTCTTGGAAGATCTTTTCACTAGATGTTCTAGAGGTGAGATTCAAGTTGATGGCCCATAAATATGCCTCCTGAGCATCACTGAGGCTGGTTTTTACTGTTCCTTGCTCCTGCTGAGTACAGTCTGGGACATGGCATGCAGAATGAGTGACACCAGGGGAGATGGTGCAGAGCAGAAAGACTTCTGCCCTGTGTTTTTGTAATACATCTTAAGATGTCAACTTGCTTTCTCAGGTGCAACATTGAATAGGAAGAGCCATACGCCAAAATCTGTATTTTCCCTTTGCAGTGAGTAGGATTGTGAGGGAAGGAGAAAAAAAAAAACAGTGACAATGGTAGCATGTAATACTGCTATTGATAATCACACTCATTGCTTTTGTTATTATTTTCATAAATATATTTTAAAACACTCTTCAGTGGTCACTGTCATCCTCTTTATTTTATGTGTGGGGTAACTGAGGCAGTTCAGAAATTAAATGACTTGCAGTCACTGCCAGCGGTGGGAATGGTCGTTTCAGTAAAAGCAGTCGTATTAGAAACCAAGCAGCAATAATATGAGCAGTGGAGCTAATAAAGGCTGCTTTCTTGTGTGTTAGCATTGGGAAACTAAAGCATCTGTACGACCGTCGAATAAAGGCTGAGCTCACCCTGCAGTATGTTCTTGGTCATTAAAAGATGCTTCTACCCCAGCTGAAACCTAAAAGACCTTAAGATTTTGGAGACTTCCACTCCATAGTTAAATGTGGTAGATGTTGCCAAGCGGTTCCAAGAGTGGAGGAGTGAGGATGAGCTGACAGAGGGACCGAGTGAGTCTTCTTTCCTTTTGAAGTCAAAGCTGTGAGGCTACAAAAGGTGGCACTGGGTTGGGGAAGGAGACGTCTACTCCCTTCTAGTAATGCTGGAACAGGTTTGGTCTCACCTTTCACTGGCATTTCTTTACCTTTGTCCTCAGACCTAAGCTCAGTGATTTAGACTGATGTGTCAGCACTCTAATTGTGTCAGGTGTATTTCAGGAGCATTTCAGAGCTTCATCTTGAAGCACTTACTCATTTCAGTAACCCTTTGAGGTGCAGTCTTGTTAAGTTCATGGGACTGGTAAGCATCACTGCTAAGCATGTGGATTGCCAGGTTCCTGTAGTACGTGGCAGGATTTTGCCATTCAGCATCCTAGAATTTATGGGGCTGGTGTCTGTACACTCCAGGGATGGACAGCATTGGGTATGTGACTTTCTGTTGAGCTACAGAATTTTGAGGTCTCAATCCCGTCTTTAGTTGTGTCTGATTGCAGCAGAAAGTCACCACCTCTTAGCAACATCTGCTTGCAGAACAGTTATAAATCATGTCGAAAATGAAGAAGGGAACATTTTTGTAGGAGAGGTGGTTGGCCTATGCCTCTCTCGTGGTTTGCCTTAGAAACTCTAGACCTGTTGTTTTTTCAAGTGCAGCCTTGCTTTTCCTTTAGCTGATGCAAGAGCATAAATCTTTGAGAAGTGAGTAAGTGGCAATACTAAACAGTCTTTGTAAGCAATTGCCCCTTTCTGTTGTTTCATTTTTGACGACCAATGAGGGATTGGTCAAATTGACGTAAAATTCATAATTGGCCAGTGTTTCTTTTAATTTTTTTTAAAGAATTAACCATTCTTGAGATTCCATTCAGGGATGCTATATTTGTGGGTTAAACTTCAGGTATAGTGTCCAGCCTGGATAAATGCTGATTTGTTGATAAAGAGATCAAGTAACCATAGCTCAGACAAACATATGCCAACAACGTGGTGAATATCATAGTGAAGCTGTTAATTTTCTCTGTGGTGAATAGATTAAAAGTTATACTTAATATACTTAAAGTACCTAAAATATATAAGCCTAAGTTTTCTGAAATTACTGATTTCAGATGTGCAACTGTTGAAGTTACTGATTTGGAACAAATCAAAAAGAACTGATTTTCAAATATGTCATCTATTTTCTAGAGCATAAGTCCATTTAACGCATGGGGTACCAGAAGTCATCTATGACTTTTTAAAAGTTCCTGCAGTGTCTAGGCAGAGATGTTCAGCTTGTTGTGGAAGTGATAGCGTTCTAAAATGTGATCGGGTGCTAATGACTCCTCATGTCCTCTTTCAGTATCCACAATGGAGTAATAGCGGTGTTCCAGCGTAAGGGTCTCCCGGACCATGAACTTTACAACCTCAATGAAGGAGTCAGGTAAGAGACTGGACTCTACGCAGGGTGTTATGAGCCAGCATGCACAGTATTGTTTGCTAGCACTTGCACTTGAAAGCTTCTACAGCAGTATTACAGTGGGTTGGGTTTTTTTTTTCCCAGTGGTAGTTTCAACCAGTACAGTCAGTTTGGGCTCAGTCAATAGCTGTTGCTGATGTGGGTCAACACCTCGCTGGGTAGCGAGAGCTGGATTCCTCTTTTCTGCACAAGAGGTATTCAGCCATGAGGAGGAGGATGGATTATTTCAGAGTCAATCTTGATGTACTGGATTGAAACTAAGGAACGGAAAACCTGGACCCCTCTAGTACTGCAGCCCTATACAACTGCAACGCTGCCGTGGTTTCTGTAGGTGCCAGACCTAGTAATGAGGTGCTTCCCTTGCATGCATGGGGGACGCAAAGCCTCCAAGTGCTCAGTGGAACATGCTCAGGAAAGATGTCCTGCCTGGTGGTCCCTTACATCTAGCTTCTCCTTCCACACAGGCTGAATATGCTGTAGATGTTACAAAGCTGTCTTCTCAGCACAGTGACCTGAGTAACGCCATTTAAGGTTCCTATGTCTTTCTCATACTGTGGTGATACATTTAAGCTATAGTTGCAAAGAAAAGTTTACCAAGAGATAAGCTGATATCTGGATTTACAGCACTTTACTTTTTACTATTCTTTCTTGCACTTAGTACTTACTAAACCCTCTCTCACTGACAAGGGCAAGGTAGCGGATTTCCTTTTAGAAACTTGGCACAATGCTTTGAAGAATAAACGGTGGAAAAGAAACTGCACTTAGAAAAGACAGACAGCTTATTACATTTCCTGGCTATCTTCAAATAAGAGCCTTGGTGATTCCCTTTCCCATACTGCTTATTCTTATCTGGGCACCGGAGTGTGACAAAATCCACAGAATATCCAGATATTCTGGGATTATCTGTCCCTGTCAGGTTCCAAGTCTGGGATAGCTGGCCCAGTCTGGATCCGTTAATTGTGGGAATATCTTCAGAGAAGTCCAGGTGAATGGCATTTGGCCTGTATACTCTATTTTCCCCCTCTCTCTTTCTTTTTGAAATTATAAGAAACTTATTCTCCGGTTATTTCTTACTTCTCTGGGGAGAAAATGACATACAAAGAATAGCTTTTCTAGGATGCCTGTCAGTTAGCATGATCCATCAATCATTTAGAGTTAGTTATTGGAATAATGGTTGATTGTTATTACTATAAGTGCAGTTGGGATGCTTCAGCTTTATCTGAATGACAAAAAATGGGAGTTCTGAGCTAAGATTTCCTGGCCAAATGCATTTGCCTCAGGATGCTTCTCTGCTGGTGAGGGACAGAACAGGACAAATTATCTGGGGATGTGACAGAGACAAATATAATCTTGTATGAACCAACAAATAGAAGAAAGAAAGAAAGAAAGAAAGAAGTAAGAAAGAAGAAAGGAAGGAAGGAAGGAAGGAAGCAAGGAAGCAAGGAAGGAAGGAAGGAAGGAAGGAAGGAAGGAAGATAGATGGATGTGTGGATGGATATTATTTGGTGAACTGTGCCGAGGTTTTGCTTTCATTTACCTGGGTATAAACCCTGCAGCATGATGATGCTTGCTAATATAGTTGTGTTGAATTATTGCAACATTCTAGGCAGCCGAACAGGCAAGCTGACTACAAATAGACTGATTTTTTTTTTTTTTTTCCATATTATGAGGGGCTTTGCTGTGGCATTATAGGCCCATTTCTTTTTGTTAGGTAAAGATAACACTGCTTTGTTGTTATCACAGCTGATCGCTTACTTGTGCTCTGCTTTGGGGAGAACAACACCTGGTGACTCATACCTGAGTTGATGGACAAAATATTGTGAAATGTAGACCTAGCTAGAAAGCTGCTGTTGTAAATAAGGCATCAGCAATTTAACTCTCATGGGATGAGCGAGCATTTGGCGAGATGCAGTGTGGCTTTTGAGACTGGTTCTTGTCTACTGCTGCTCTGAGGTTGTTCCCTCTTGCCTCCGACTTGGCCTGAACAACCTTCTCATTTATTGCCAAAAGCTGTCCATCCTCTCGGTGACAACTCTGTTTTTGTGAAGGTTCTCATGTGTGTCCCGCTTGCTTCATTCATAGAAAAAAGCTAAGATGAGAAAACTGTGATTTGTCGAAGAGGACACAACAGCTGAAAGATCTATTGTTACTACTGTTGTTATTTAATTCAAAATAACTTCCTTTGAGTTAATGTTATTATTGAATGCAAAAATACCTGATTCATAAACATGAACTCAGAAGTGGAACAAGTGTATATTTGCCTTACAATTGTTTTAGATGCATTTTCCCCACAAGTACATAACTAAAAAGAAACATTATTTCCACTGAGCAGCATTTGAGTGTGGAAACATTCAGGTAAATGGCTTTTTTCAAGAAGTACAAGACAGTAAAAGAAGTTATTTTATTTTACCACTTTAATTAGAGCAGATTCTGGGATACTTTTTGTAATTAAACCTTGAATATCCAAGTTGACTCACGGACCAAGTGTAAATATTTGAGCAGTTAGGTTATGCCCACAATATTTGCACACCAGCGTTTTGACTCAGGAATGTCACGTATATTCAACTACTGTATGTCACATACGTGCAAACAAACACATATAACTTCCTTTTCTCAATACACATCTCAAGGCTTTGAACTCTGATTATGTATGCACTGATTATTTAAGAAAACATCGGTGGGTACGAATTTGTACAGTACCATTTACTTTTCTTCTAGGTTTGGCTCATAAAAGCTGCCACTCATTTACACCAATGCCTTTTGACACCATTCTTGCATTCCTCTGGCATTAGAAAGTGGCCTTAAATACAGAGTTACATAGCACTCAGAAGGCCCGTTGCCAATAAAACCAGTATGTGATTTCAGTCTCTTTCATATTGCTGTAACTCCTGAATAACTCTGCTAAAGCTGATGATATACCGTAAGGTGGTGAGAAGATACTCCAGTAACTGGGAGTATCACCAGTGTATGGCCTGTACATTACTTCTTCTGAGTCCTTACTAGGTGATCTAATAGGGGATTGATTCAAAAGTCAGTAATAAAAATCTGTTTGCATATACTTATTGTTTAGTGTTTCTCTTGGTGCATGTGTGTGATATTAGTAACCATACAGTGTTTTTTCCTTTTTCATTTCATGCACCATATGTCATTTCAGCGTTTATTTACATCACTTGTAAATCAAGGAAGAAAAAGAAGGAAAGGGAAACACAGTGGAAGCAGGATATCCTATATTAAAGTTAATACATATTTATAGCTGCCTCTTTTCTGAGTTTCAGGATACTGGTTTAATGCAAACAAAGCACATTTTAGTGGCATTTCCTCCTTTGTAGCAGGAGTTCAAACCCAGTAAAATCACTTGTTTCCATTTGCTTCATTTAACTTTATTTAACTAATGAAGTTAAATTCAGATATAATACAGTGTTAGACTTTCCATTCTGAGTAATGTTGCAGGAGTTAATTTCAAAATGAACCAAAGAAGTGGCAGCAGGAAGACACAAAAAAGTCAGGAGCTATTATAACCATATTTTATGTGAATTTATATTATCATCTCAATTTATGAAGTCATTAAATAGTCAATGAAGACCTGATATCAATGATATCCAAGCTTCATAAGAGTGCAAAAGGACTAGCTTCAAAATCAGATGCACTTGAAACAAAGTCCCCTGTCTGATCAGGGGTATCTTGGAGGTTTGATCAGATTTTTACCTAGATTCCACCATGATGTCCACATATCTAGATAAGGTTATTCAGTAATCTGAATTATTCAGGAACTGACAGGTGACAACCTCGCTGATTTTTGTTAAAGAAAATTAAGCAAGAATGAAAAAAAATTGCAAGCAATATCTTGGATCCAGTTTTGTTGTGGATCTCTTTTAAATTAATACGAGTATAAAGAACATCAAACACCAGTGTTCTGATGTGGCCTGAGGGCCTCACTATTTCATGAGAAATTAATTAAACAGCATGAAGTATCTGTATTATTAGGGATTCAAAGAGCAAGATGCATTAATTGTGCCGTCAGTTCTTCTTTCGCCCTGTAAACAGAGATGCTAATGTAGCCATAGTGCTGCTTGGTGTGATGCAGTCCAGCGCATATAATTAACTACCAGCTCGTTCTTTAGTTCATTCACAGCTGAAAAAATGGAAACGTGGTGGGATTTTGTTTTATCAGAGGGCTAGTTGTTGGATTTTGTATTTCCTGCCCCAAATGCCAGGAATTATTAGTAGAACCTAATACATGAAAAGAGAAAGTATTTGCAAATCACCTGTTCAAGACTATGGGGAATCCAGGACTAGACTTTAAAGAGCTGCTAGCTTGAGGGAAGGGGAGAAAATTAAGCAAAACCAGTCAGCACAAAGTATTAGTTGTTTTGGTTTTTTTTTAAACAGTGGCACAAAGAGATACCTGGGAATAATTTCTTTGCAATTTTCTTGTTATTTTAACCTAAAAATGGTTTATCTATCCATGTTCAAACTAAGAAAAAACGTTAGTGCCATTGCTTGCGATCCAGAAAAAAATCACATCACTTGGACAGTATATACCCACTTGGGGTAAGCGTGGCATGATTTGGCTATAGCATCCTTGTACTCATTGACATACTCTTAAAGCTTTAAGTCTTTAACAGTCTTTGGGGGTGCGGGTGGGTTTTAATGCCCCCCCCGCCAAGGGCTCAGAGCACTGCAAGGGTTTTCCTCTCCCATATGTTGCAACAGCATGCCCAGGGGGCTAACCATATAATGGCTGTTCGGGGCAATGAGAGACCTATGGCTAAAGCCTGAGCTGGCTTTGAAAATCTTTGTCTGCCGATAGTTTGTCTGAGTAATTCAGATTTCTAGCTGAAAAGGATTTTGATGCTTAGAAGCATCTGAAAACCCCCTTCCGTTTGTTTGTTTTCGATTTCATTTATGCTTAGATTGTTTCCACAGGGTGCTATGAGGTCAGTGTGGACATGTGCTTAAGGATAAATAAATAAGATATTGTATTTCAGCCTCCTAAAGGTTGACCTGCTCCTCCTTTCCCTAATCTTTCAGAAGATCTCAAGAGGCTGTGCTGAAGCATGTGGTGTTAAAAACATCGGATCCAACTCTTGCAGACTTTTTCATGGAGCGTAGGGTTATGCTGGAATTTTAAACCAGACGTGTATTTGTTTACTAGATAAATAATCTGATTAATTAGTTATTTGTTAAAAACATAACCCAACAGGATAGGTGATAACATGCTACTGAATGTATAATATACACAACTGCCCTAACTGAAGTGGGTGTTTAGATTTTAAGTCGAATTTGACCTCATGGGACGTGAGGTGGTCTCACAGGGACAGGTTGTCAAAAGAGCTCATGGCTTTCAGGCCAGATTTGCTAATGTTCAGCTGGGACTACATTTTTGAAAGGTCCGAGCTCTCATATATGCATCTAAATAGCAACCTGAGTGCAGAGAAATACAACTACCATCCAGCATGTGAGACTTAAATGACATACAGCTCTTTGGAAATGTAGTGAGTTTTATCTGGATACAAATGTTGGGCTTGTGGATCAGTTGAATTTGGTTGAATTCAGTTTCTGAATTTGAGGGTTGGTTCTGGGAATTTTTTTGCACGTAAGTGTGGTTTGCTCTCTGAGATTGTGTTGTAGGATTTCGTGTAGAGAAACCAGGAAAGGCAGAGCGAAACTGTTAAATCACTGAAACTGTATGAAACTTTGGCTGTCCTTGGTCTCTTGACTAGAAGATTGTGACCCTTTAAATGAAAACTGGCCAAGTTTCATGCCTAAAAAAAACGCTGTAGAATATCATCCTGCTTCAGGTTTCTCTCTAAACATTTTGTTATGGCTTGCGTTTTTGGGTTTGGTTTTGTTTTACATTACATAGCATGGAGATGATTTGGCTCTGAACACGTCAGTCAAGTCACGTGCTTGGTTTTTTGGCTCAGATGCATGGATGGGCAGAGAGCACCAGGAGTTCTCCCACGTCTGCAGTGCCAGGTGCCAGTGAAGCCCTGGCACGTCAGGAGAACAACACAAGCATTTCTAAAAGTGTTAGATGTAGGATGGAAAGCATCCTCTTTCCGTTGAATCTCAATTTCCTTTCATATGTATTTGTGCAACTGAGCCATCTAAAAGCACAGCAGGTATTTTTCAACACACAGAAACTCTGGCTGGGAGTCTTGGTCTTGTTGACCCTGTTTGCTCTATTTGTAGTTAGGCATTATTGACAGGCTCTGTGCTCGCATGAAAATATTTTACTATTAATGGCTTCCCCTTTTCCATGCAGTGCACAGCTAATACAATTTGCTGATTACACAGATCCTTTTCTTATTCTTTTTAATACAGGCAATTATTGAAAACAGAACTGGGATCCTTTTTCACTGAATATCTACAGGTAGGCATGTGTTTTCTTTCGTTTAAATCAGATTTTGTTATGTTACTGAGCAAAATCATTTCACCCACTCTAAAAGCTGATCTGGAGCCCCTTGAAACCATTCAGAGATGTCCACTGACTTCTCTGTGTTCTGTCATTTATGGATTAATGAGATTTGGATTTATTTTATATATATAGATAGTGACAGCCCAAGCTGTGGAATAGATTTGTGCAGGCACTATGTTTCTGTATGACATTGCTGTCTTTCAGTAGATTTCAGACATTCTCTTTTAACTTAAAATTTAAGTTCCTGAGTAAACCATTTAGGTCCATTGTAGTATAGTTAATAGGAAAGACATTTAGCAGTAAGTACACACTGTCTATTGAAGCAGTATTCTTTCTGCTTCTCTAAGACAGAGTACAGGCTTTGTGGGCCAGCCATTTGAAGTTTGAGAAGTGCTTTGTACCGCAGACAATACATGCTGCATCCTGAAAGCAGTAGGTGATTATATCATCGTTTGACAAGTGTCCCAAGTGGTTTAAGCAAGATGGACACAGGAGGAGTCCTTTGATGATTGATCATTAAAATAAAAGACCCCCTTTATTGTCAAAAGTTAAGAATGAACAAAATGTGAAATATGATGGCTGTAGGGAAGTACAGAATTGAGTAAAGGCAGTCTGTATTTTATTTACAGAATCAGCTGCTCACAAAAGGCATGGTGATCCTAAGGGACAAGATCCGGTTTTATGAAGGTAACTTTGATTTTAGCATGGCTATCTATATCTGTCACAGGATTTTTAGCAAATGCATTCTGGAGGCAATGTGATGCTTTCCACTATCTTCCTGGCACTATGGATTAGTTTCTATCAATTAATTCCTGCAGTCTGTTGTTGTGTCGCGCTTTGGTGTTCCCATTGGCTTTCATGAAGGAGAGATGATTGCCTAGAGCAGCAGCAAGGGAATAAAGAAAAGTTTACCTCCAGCATGGACACTTCCTTCTTCTTCAATTATAGCCTGCTTAATGTTAAGAAAAAGTGGAAAAATAGCGTGAGATATCTTAAACAAAAACTAACCACTAAGATCCCAGTTAGTTGAAGTGTCTGGCTAAGTCCAAAATAATGCTGTAGGTTGTTTTAAGAGTTATTCTGGATTCGTGCTTACATAAACAAGGTCAGACACTGTCTCTTTTTTTACAGTCAAGGCACCATTTGTCTGTCTTCACCTTCTGGAGGTGTCACCTTCTGGAAGTAAATATCGGGGATTACCTCCACCAGATATGTCATTTTACAGTCGCCCTTATTTCATGTCCTATGCTATTGTGTGGCACTTAGCTGTGCTGTTAAATACGCTGTTTTGTCCTAGATGTAGGCATACAAGTTGCACCAGGGGAGGTTTAGATTGAATATTAGGAAAAATTTATTTACTGAGAGAGTTATCAAGCACTGGAACAGGCTGCCCAGGGAAGTGGTTGAGTCACCATCCCTGGAGGTATTTAAAAGATGTGTAGATATAGAGCTGAGGGACGTGGTTTAGTGGGGCTGGGCAGTGTTAGGTTTTCGTTTGGACTCGATGATCTTAAAGGTCTTTACCAACCTAAGTGATTCTATGATTCTTTACGTCATCAGAGGGTGAAATTATTTCGGAATATCTTCAAGAATTATTGCCCATGTAAACAGTCTGAATTTTAAACAAATGTGTCTTTCCTTTAGCAAAGCTGCAGTCATATCACTTAGTCTAAATATACTGTTTAAGCAGTAGCCTGGAGACAACTGTTTCCATTAGTTTCAGCTATCTATAAATCCTAAATGTGACCTTTCATTACTGACAGTACAGTTGATCAGATTAAGATAGTGCAATGGGACCCAGCTTTTCTGATGAAAAGACAATAGTCTTGAACACCTCAAAAAGAGGGCAAATTTCACATTAAAAAATACCCCCCAAAAAGCACCCAAACTCCTCTAAGGTGAACACAGGATTCCTCAGTTATATAAAGTAACAGCTCAGAGAGCACAAGGGGAACTGTAAGGATCTTGAGACCTTCACAGATGCTTTGTAAATCACGAAGGAAGTTGGCTTTTAAGTATCAAATCAGCAAATTAGACGCAGAGACCTACCAAAGTCCAACGCCTTTTTCCTCTGCTTTTACTGGCTTGAAAATCAAAAATACTATTTATGATGTTTAAGATCAAAGCTGAGATGAAAAAGTGATGTTTGAGACTACTAAATGGCTTGGAAGTGTAGGAGCATGTTTAGGAAACGAAAAATTTCATCAAGCTGTTAAGTTCTTTTTGGTTTTGAATTTGGTGTATCATTTTGTGGTTGCTCCAGAAATGCTGGTAAGGTGAGGAGTGAATCTGTCATGGTTTTTTGCAAGTCCATCTTCAGAAATGTCAACTCACTAAAACTGGCAAGTTTCAGGAGGGTAGCTGTAATTTAGGAATCTCATTCAGAGGCAGAGGTCTTTCTGACAGGCTTCCTACGAGCTTTCTGACAGCTTGCCTGGGGAGCTGCTGGTGGATGTGAATTTCCAAGGCTGGAATTTGGGTTTCTTGGCAGCAGAGAGAGCAGCACCCCAGAGTCCATCCTGTAGTCAGTCACCCCAAGGCTCCCAAAACACCCAAGACAAAGTTGGGAGCACGGAAATCCTGGGAGCTCCCATTCTCTGCAGGTCTCCCCTCCTGGGTCTGCAGCAGCAGCAGTCCTGCCCTCAAATCTTAGGTTGTCCTGCATCCCATGGTTTGAGTTTCCCTATGCAGTTGGTGTTGAAGTTTTCAAGAGAAAAAAGATCACTCCAGAGCATACTTTGGAGGGTTTTTGTCCTGCAGGACGTTTTGAAAAGTTTAGCTTTTGTTTTAAAATGATGCTTTTTTATTCTTCTATTTCTTTCAGGAGTTTCAATTAACTTTTAGAAGCACTGAAAAGTACTACGTGCATTATGTCATATAAAATTGACTATATTGTGCTTCATTAAAATGAGCATTTAGAGTAACCCAGCTTCCTGGAATCTGGCAAATGCTTATGGTAAATGTAGGCGTCTTTGCCTGACAGTAAAACAAACATATTCTTGAAAGGACATGGAAGTCACATTCCTCCATGTGAAAGATGCTCATCATCAACAAACCGTAGGAATTCTTCCACAGCCGCCAGTAAAAGGCCTGCCTGGCGAAAGGCAGGTAACTCTGCAGCCTTTCTGAGCTGCTGTACAGAAGTCCGTCACTTCACAAAACAAACTGCCCACAAGATGAAAGGAGTGTGCGACAGTAAAGGCATGTTTATCTCAACAGGGTGATTTGACTTCGTGCAATTCTAGCAGCAAGATTTGAAAAGAACCGATGTTCAGCACCCACATCTGGAGCCAGATTTGTAAGGGCTTAGTTTCCACTTAACCTCAGCTTGTGGGCAACTAATGTATTTAACTCTTTTTAAAACTCTGCCCTCAAGGAATAGGGTGGTTGGGCTTCTCCTTCATGATTGGATTTATAGCTTTGAAACACTTTAGTGTTTCAGACATTAGTATATGGAGGTTATAATGCAATGGTATTTATTATTATTATTATTATTACTGCTACAGCTGCTAGGAATTTTGGACCTGGTTCCCTGCTGTGTTTCACTAGAGCTAATGCAAGACAATTTTTTAAAAAATTGAAACTGAGAACACCCTTTTCAGTCTTGTGCACATGTATGTAGGACAGAGAGAACTGCATGGTGGTGCAGAAACAAAGACTTTGTCATGGTTCACAAGCCAGCAGCTGCAGTGTGGCATGGTGATCCACACTTGACACTGAAAGCACTTCAAGTCATCAACCCAGGAATAGTTCAGGAGTTGCAGATGGGCCAGAGCTGGTGCTATTTGTCATGTGCTTAAAAATGCAGTGAGATCAAGTATCCCATAACAAAGATTGGCACTTTCTAACTTAGAGTGTAGATGCTTTCATGCAGTTTCTTTGTGATGCGTGTGTAATGCTGGGTGAAATGTTCCCTGGCTGAGTCCCTAAGTAATGCTGTGATACCAAAATTAAGAATAGTATCTGATTCTGACACCAATAGTAATACTGATTGATTGCTATTGAATTTGCTTCCTGATAAGTTGTATTGTCTTGTCTGAATGCCTCATAGTGATTGATGTATTTAGCTCCATAATACTTGCTGGTGGAGGTGCAGTGGCACTGCTCTTCTTTCACAGTTGTGTTAGGGGCACAAGGATGCTAAAGAGCTTGCCCAAGGTCACACATGCCATTTTGCAGAACAGGGATTTGAAGCCAGCATCTAGCTATCAAGCCAGACTTCCTCTCCCATAGATCTTGGCTCCTGCATTTACCTCTGTGTTTTATGAAATGTTCTGTGAGGAACTCTGTGTCTAACTCTTGTAGGACCTGGCCAGAGCTTCTCTGATCTCCACTGGGAGGCTGCAGCGGGGGAGGGAATAGAGAGGGAGGTGGCCCTGCTGTGAGGACCATGGGGAACTCACATCATAGCAGGTTTTGACTGCATCCTTTGAAAGTTACATTAAAAAGTAGAGCTGCAACACCATTCTCTTTTTCCATAGAGCTTGGGTGAGATTTTCTATGTAAGTGGAGATACAGGGAAGCTAAGGGATCAATTTGAGGAGATGCTTTGTGGAAGATCTCCACAGAGCACAGTTTGCTGGCTTACAGCTTAGAGGGCAGAGGGGAGCACGGTGGCAGAGATTTCTCTGCAGGAATGTTTCCACATTTAACCTGCTCTGTCCTCCTCCTACTGCTCTCCTCCACAGTCTTGTCCACTAGGTATTACTGCAAGAGGAGGAGGTAACCTGAGCTATTATTCTTTATTCTTGACAGGGTTTTTCTGACTAAGCTTTAACCTCAAAGTCTCTGAGTTTACTAAGAACATTAGATGTGTCACCTGAAAAGGCACAAATACTGAGTGGTTCAGTACAGTGAAAGGAATACTAATTCCACACTGCTAATAGTAGTGTTGCAGGTCCACATTGTTTCCTGAATGTTTTAGTCTTTGCAGTTAGTTGATTACAACCTAAACGGTTCACTAGTTTGTTTTGTGTTTTTGCAGGGCAGAAACTACTGGATACGTTAGCTGAAACTTGGGATTTTTTCTTCAGTGATGTCCTGCCCATGCTTCAGGCTATTTTCTATCCTGTGCAGGTGAAAAATTACTCTTGTTCCTATAGAATCTTGAAAAACTGGAAAAAGCAACTTTACTGGTTCATCAACAGATTGATGCAATCCTTAACTCCCTCTCCTTGGGCCAACCTCCCAGTGCAGCTGTTCTGTATAGTCATGTCATGCAAATAAGTTACTTATGCAAACAGCGGTTTAAACTGCTTGGGTGAAAAAGATGAAGGGGAATTTGAGAACAGGAGTGGAGTACAGGGAGGATGGTTAGTTGTTCTGTCAACTCACGCTAAAAGTCAAAAAAGGTTATGAATAATAAACTGAAATATGCACACATTGAAATAAGCAGAGCTGTTTTGACTTAAGTATATAAATTTCCTTCTCTGCGATGTGAATTCATCTCTGAAGTTTCTCCACTTCTGAAAAGGAACTGTATTTCTGAGGTCAAGTTCTATGCTACTACAAATGAACAGCAATAGTCAGTGACCTTGCACCAGTTTACATTAGCACAGCATTTGACTCCAGTAATTTTAAATCCAAAATAGGTACTTGATCTGATTTGGATGAGGCTTACTCTTCTAACTTAGTGGTGGCCACAGAGTTGAAAAATCTGTACCAGATAGGTATATCAAGTGACCTTCTGGAGTTGCTCTTAGATGCCTAACAGATTTTAGTGGGCATTGGGTGCCTAAACATACTTGGGGAAACTTTGGAAACTTTCTTCCATTTTTCCAAGTGGTCTTCATGCCTAAAATGATTGTCCAAATGTTATCAATATTACCACTTGCATCTGCAGTTAATTACAGGCATGAAATCTGAATTCGGTGGAAAAGCTGCAACTTTACACTGAATTTTATTTAGGAGAAGAGCTGTAAAAACTTACAGGGGACTTCACCCCTTGACTTGCATCTTACCAGTAGAAACTTTAAAACCATAGACATAATATGGTGTTAAAAACCTGTTTCTAAGTGCCACATAATTTAAATCCAAGGCATTTGGGAACCTAGAGATATAAGTGGTCTCTCAACCTGGTGTTCTATGCTGACTCGACTAGATTAGAACTCACTCAGATGTTTTTGAAAATTGCACCAAGTACCCCTTTTCACTGTTGTGTTCCTGAGGTCTTTGAAAATAATTTAGCAACACCTTGCAGATGAAAATAATTGCTTGAATTTTCAAAGGAGCCTGGAGGGGGTAAGAACCCCACGTTCCATGTAATTTCAAATAGATGTAGGTGCCTGATGTTCTAAGGATACTTCCAAAAGCCCAGCTGGTGTTTATGTGCTCTTGTAAATTCTATTCATTAGCAACTGAAGCAGATTTGGCCTTCTTTACTTCAGTACAAATAATTTAACAAAGTGAAAAGGAATGGGTGGGGTGGGGTCAGGCTTTTTTATTCTAAACTAAAATAAGTCAATACCAGCTGAATATCAGCCCTTCCAAGAGGGTCAATATTTGGCTGGCAGTACTCAGGCAGGCAAGAATATGTGTATGTGTACAGCCATATATACTCAAGGAAAAAGCCCTGGTGCTGGCAACGGGAACTGTTTTACAACTCCTCATCATGTATAAGGCAAGTGGTGTTAATCTCTGCAGGCAGAGCATTGTATTCTTCAGATGAGTTAGTTTTTCAATGAGAAGTGATGCTTGAACTGCAAAAAGATGCTTTTGAAAATGTAATATGAAACTGCAGCTCTGCTTTTACCTTATAGTGAAGTCTCCTAAACTGTAGAGACAAGGAGGATCCACAGGTAGGCTGAGTCAGAATTCCCACTATATTTGAAGAGAGTATCTAGCCAGTACTGAAAATATTGAGAAATAATGGAAATTCAACCCTTTTTCAACCTTGCTTTGGTTTTTTTCTTTTTTTTTAACATATGACACATTTCATTACTGTTAAAGTACAAAATATTCATATATAGTCTGTGCTCAAGTACGATCCCCCACATCCTACCCCAACCTCATCATCTTCATATACAGTCAGACTCAATCGTTGTCTGCAGCATTCATTACTGCCAAATCAAATTCACTGTGCGGATTTGTAGGCTGCTCTGTGTCCTTTGTTATGTTTCCTCTGCTTTTCATTCAGGTTTACCATTCTTGTAATCCCTCAGAAGTGGAGGAAAGAATTTTGACGGAGGATTTGGAAACTCATTTTCACACTGCTCATAATCCATCTTGCTTTGTTTCTGTTTCTAAGGGGAAGGAGCCCTCGGTTCGGCAGCTGGCTCTTCTGCACTTTAGGAATATAATTACCCTCAACATTAAATTGGAAGATGCATTATCACGTTCCAGAGCCAGAGTTCCACCTTCTATTATTCAGATGCTGTTAATACTCCAGGTAAATTGGTTGCTTTTCTCAGGCTGTTTTCTTTATCTATCTTTCTGTACTGTATTGCTGAAGTCTTTAAGCAGTCTGTGATTTTGCTCATTCATTGAAAACTTCTTACCCAGAATGCCAGAGCTTCTGTGCAATTAAATTTTATCCTAATATCTAAACGTAAAGATTCTAGAGGTTCAGATTTCATATGCCTTAAGATCCAGAGGGTCTGAGAGTAAAGGCTTGTTTTGAAACTGTGGGCCTTCAAATACTAAGTTTTGCAAGCAGGCCAGCATATGTGGTAATAATGTGACTTCCATGAAACGCTGCATGCTGCTGCATTAGCAGTTCTGGATATGAAGCTTCACATCTAGAGTAGGCAACAAAGTGAATATGCAATTTGTAGTTGAATCGTGGTCATACTTGGTCACTGGAACCAAATTCTATCAAAGCTGTTGATACAAAAACATTAAGACCAGATAGATACTGGTATTTGCCTTCAGTGTTAGATTATTTTTTTTAGTAGTAGTGAGGAGGAGCAAAAAGAGGAATTCCATGCAAAAGTCAAGTTTAAGATTTTTTTTTGCTTAATTAAAGAAAAGCATGAGCTTGTGTTGAGGAGCAAGGGGGATGAGGCAGATGGGAGGGAGGAAGCCAGGAGTGAATTCTTAGGGAGTATGGAAGTTGAGATTTTCCTGACTGGTGATTTTTTTAGTAAACAAGTAGATTTACAGCAAATGAAAGAATATAGTTTCTCACACTCAAAATGATTCTTTGCTCTTCATCACTGTATGAATTAGTTCTGTGACTGAAATTGTTTTAAAGAGCAGGATAATCTAAAGGCCAGTGATGGAAGTGGAGGAAGGAATAAGATTCTGCTGGTCAAGAAATGGTATTTCACCCCTGCTATCGCAGTGGTGCGTATGTGCGTTGTTTGTAGGTGCGTTCAACCTACTTTTCTCAGAAAAAGATACTTGTGCGATAGGACTGCCTGCTTGCCCCTTGTCTCCCTTCTCCCTAACCTCCAGCTTGCCAAATGCTTCTTGAAACTGCTGGCTGATTATGGCACAATGACAGCAATATCAGAGATATTAAGACTCCTAGGAGTTTTGTGGAAATTAATGTCTGGAGAGAGGAAAGGAGCCTCAGGGAAAAACTGGAGCATAATGAGACATCAAAGAATCCATGTAATTGAACTGTGAATCCAGCTGTGTTAATAGACACCAGAGACTCCACATGAGAGACTACGATCATGGAAACCTTAATCTCAGGAAGGTTGCCTATCAGGCCTCATTCCTTCGTAGATGCGAGGTAAACTGTCAATTTTAAACCAGGCTTCAGCAGTGCCGTTGCTAATGGATCTGCTAGTTTTTTTGTGGTTTCTTCTTTAGAGAGTCTGTGTTGGCTATGGGCAAGATCCGGCTTCGAATGAATTCAGTGGTGAGCTGGGAACTGAATAACATCCTGATTTAGAAAGTTCATAGGAGGTGATGTGGAGTCATTTGCCAGGATTAGTGCTACAAGAAACAGTTTCTTTTCAAATCTGTTTTCTTCAACAACCAGGGGTGTTAACAAGGCGGATGCCTGTTTAGGGTAAAAGGCCAAATCTGTTCTCATTGCAAAGCTGTTGATGAAAATCAGTAATGAAGTGAGAGGGAGTTTTCCCCCTGGGCATTTATTTCTGCATATGTTACCTACGGTTGTGTGGTAGGGTCCTTTCACGACAATAGCTCTGTCAAACTTGTGGTTTAAAATCTAATGGAAATTACAGGAAAAGGTCAGAAGAGGATCTGGGAATGGGCTGTTTTATTTACATGCTTAGCAGTGTTAGTCAATAATTGGATTTCAGAGCAAAGGCTTTTTCTCAAACTCAAGCGTCACATTAAACAAAAGCAAATTTTATACATTTATGGCATAATAATGGAATTTCCTTGACTTAGATTAACTCATCATGTGAATAGGGCTGGAAGAGTGATAACAATTAAGCGGTCCAAAGAGCACATGATGGGCTCGTGTGTATGGATTTCCCAGACTGAAAGATGATGTCTTACAGTGGACATTGTCTAATCCCTATTTCTGTCTACTGTGGATATCTCTTCCATAACAAACTTGGTGATGCTTGAGCAGACTCCCATGGCTAGAAGATTAGTGTGATGTCAGCACTGGACCAAGTGTTGAACCTAGTGCTAAGTTTCCCCATTTCTGTCCTTGACAGCCTTTTGCAGCTGTGTTACGTAATTAAGGAGCAGGTCATGTTCTTCAAGACAGCAGCTGTAATGTCAGCTGAAGGCCATGGGCTGACAAAGGCCCATGCTGACATACACCAGTCTGTCCTGTTAGGCTGGATTAAAGCGGCGGAGATTTGGTAACTAATGCAGCATGCATCTAGTATTGCTTGTGTATTAGCTTGACATAGTGTAGGGGAAGAGCTTGTATCAGTTTGTCAGAAGGCACTGTCTTTACCAAGAGGAAGGGAAGCTTTTTCAAGAGGGAATGGAAGGTGCAGCAAACCTTGGACTTTATTCAGGAGGTAAGTGCTGATTCAGCAAAGCTCAGTAAGTTTACCTGAGTGTGAGTTTGCTCACATGCTGAAGCCAATGAAGCTATTCCGTTGACCTCTGTGAAGTTACTGACCTGTTGCAAGTTGCACACATTCCTTGCTTGCTCAGCTGTCCATGCTCTGGCAAGGAGAATAAAACAGTTCCTGCCAAAGATCTCCTGAATAAAAGGGCCTAAAATGAAGTTGCACCCCTTACTTCATTGTTTGGGTGGTTGTTTTTTCTCCTTTACATCAAATCTTTTTTCCTGTCCACAGTAAACTATTTGCTGTATGCGTGCCTACCAGCCACACATTTAATACCCTAGCATGTGGTACAGCAGCTGCACCGGTCCTTTGGCATACAGTGATGTGATAGAGGATATACACTGGTGTAGAAGGTGTCACCAACCTGACAGATACCTCACAATTTGCCCACAGAGCCAAATACCTCAATTTCTTTGTGTTAAAAACATCAAAGACCAAAAAAAAAAAAAAAAAAAAGGCAGGGGGAGGAAAATCTTGTATCTTCTCTATGCAATCCCTTTTTGAAGGAAAGAAGAACCCCCATTTCTGGGATAAAGCTGTTACAAGTATTGTGTATCTGAAGCTTTGTTGTAAGATAACCTCCATTTAAAAGATCAGAAATTAGTCCTTGGTTTAATCATTAGACCTGGGTTCTCCAGTCCAGTAAAGCCACTTCTCGCCAGTGCTATCACCTGGTCCAATTACAAACCAGCGATCTATTGGGAAAGCAGAACTGGGGAACAGAGTGATATTCCTGTGCTGTTGAAGTCAGTGGGAGTTTTATCACTGCTTGGAAGAAGGGCCTTACACCACTCAAACTTTCGGTTGCCAGCACAGCCTGACCCAGTTACAAAGCACGAACTGAAACGTTAATCCTTTGTGGCTGCTTACAGGCAACATAAGCTGAAGTACCTCCAGGATGCTCCTGTTTAAGTTTCAGGGCCTTCAATAGCAGAGTCATGACTGAGGGAAGTAAAAGAACTAAAACTGCTTTTGAGCACAGAACGATGCACAGGAGCTCACATAACTATACTGAGTTGTCGGTCTCACCTCGATGACCTTTCTCTTTGGGTGAAATTAGGAAGCTGGAGTGAGAGGGATAAACAGAAAGAGAGATTAGAGAAGAATTTTCTCCTTTATGTTCTATGAACCAAAGAGAGTAAAACTATCACCCGAGGATAAACAATCCGAATTATTTCCCAAAGCGTGTTGTCAAAGAAGACCTTTGCCACTGAAACAGGAACATCTTATCTCCAGGTATCTCTCCTGAGGTCTGAGAAAGTTGGAAAAGAAGAATTACAGTGTTTATCTGCATCTTTCAGTTAACATCAGTGTTATTTGAGTCCACAGAATCTCTCTGGGTGACCCGAGGTATTTCAAAACTGTAGAAAGGCACAGCACAATCTCTCTCGTGCTGAGGGATGAGGCCTCACTAAACACAAGCTCTGAAGAGAAAAATAAACCCTGTGGTTTCCTTTTTGGCTTCTCTAAGCTTCATTTGAACTCCCTTGCCTGTTGCCTTTCTCTGTAAAGGAAGACAAAATAAATACATAAAACTGCCCAGTGGGACCTATTTGTTATCTCTGGAAAGTTCCTAAATGCAGGTTCAGGTCCTTGCACTTTAAAGTGGTGGAAAAACACACTGCAAGAGCTGAAAGCAGAATGCAGAGTGCTGTTTTTCCATCTCAGCAGCCACACAGCAAACCAAAGACAGTGTAGTGGTTAAAAACAAAATACCCTTTGCTATCGGAAAACTGTAGGGTCCTGCCTGTGGATTTTCTGTAACACTACAACAGGTGTCAACTGGGGTCGAATTCTTTACGGCCATAGGGTTTGGAATTTGGTGGTTGCTTTTGAGAGTTTATCATACTAAGTTTCTTAAACCTGAAGCATAGGTCGAACAAAGTGGGTGGGTGTGAGGTTTCAACATGCTTTTCATTTCTCTTCACCTTTTTCTGGGTTCCTGGTTTATAAGACTCAAAAAGCAGAAACCAATAAATAAAGGTATCGTAGACCCTATTTAAATACAAATCACCATATCAAAAGCCTGTGCATCACCTGGGTTGTGCATAAATGTGTTGTCTTCCTTCCTGGTGAAAGGGTGGCTTGTCTGTGTCGTTTGTATCAGCCCCACGGGCACATAAGAAGTCAGGTAAGAGAGCCAGGATACTGCCTGACACAAAGGGAAGAGTCTCCCATTGCTTTGTGTTGACATACACAAAACTGAGAATGTGACCCTCAAGAATATTTTGTAGAAACAATGCTCACTTCTAAGCAATATCATCTGTCTTATTCGGTCTTATTTATTGTCTCTATCAGCAAGTACAGTTTGCAGTAGTTAAATTGACACAGGTTTGTTATCCTGGAATGAATTTGTATTGCCATGATTTTTAACAAGGCATAGCATTCATTTGTTGTAGGAAAAAGATCCTTTTGAAAGAAAATCTTGACCTCTTTG